AATGTGGGTGGAAAAGTTGAAGTACCCACATCTGCTTGCGTGCCCATGAGCAAGCAAAGTGGCGTATCCTGGCGAGCAGATGGAGCAATTTTATCCAGTACAGTACTGTGTGCAATGGCGGAGCCAAGTGGTGGTCAATGGTGTCCTTGACCACCATAGCTTAATCTTTGGGCACCCCAGTCATTTGAGGAAACTACTTTCAAGTGATATAAAAAACCTGCATAGTTTCCTCGTGATAAGGCCGGTTTAAATATAAACACTGTGGTGGCCATCTTGGATATTGATGTTGCAACCCAATTTTCAAAATAAACATTTCTTATGCCTAGATGCAGCCACACACCTAAATAGAAGAAGTTGGAATGGAAGTTGCTACCTCATTTATTTTTCAATATATCGTGTTCATCACATGCATGGACAGATGGAGAGTATTTCCAATTCCCACTGTTTGCTCTGCAAAGGAAGACAGCAAGACCCTCAGCTGAATCTAAAAAAACACCGTGTTGAACCCAGATCAACATTAGGCCGACGGTAGTCTGTGTTGGTCAACAAATGAGAGGGAGTTGGATAAGCGTAGTCTGTTTACAAACTTTGCTGACAAATGTTTAATTTTAGGACACATATTTAACATTGATATAAAACACTGCACAAATTTTGCTTCTCACTCGATTCATCTTTAGAGTGATCTTCACGACATTGCAGAAAGGAGCTATAATCTGGTAATGATACTATGGTGACGCAGAGGTTAGAGAAGGTGTGCCTGTGATCAGAAGGTCACTGGTTCAACCATATCAGCAACATCAAAATGTGGGTGGAAAGGTGAGACTTTGCCTCAACTCTGGGCCCATGAGCAAGGCCCTCAACCCCCACCCAGTGTTGCCAGATTGGGCGGTTTACCGCCAGTTGGGTGGTTTTCATTCTGATTTTGCAGGTAAAATTTGCTTTGGGCAGGTGGGGATAATTTGGGCGGATTTGGAGTCAGATCTGCAGTTTTTGAGTTAACCTACACATTTCAAACAATCGTTCATCATTACTGATTCATAGCAAAGCTCCCCTGACCTTTCTCCATCACTGATTGACTATTGTCATCTGCCAGGGCCAGAACTTCTGAGGCGGCACAATAATGACAGACGTCTGGTTGAGTGGGCTGGCCCGTTGCGGCGATACCTCGGAGCTGCCGCCATATTGGATGTGGCAGAACTGCTGGTCAACTAATACAAGGAAATGGACTGAACTTCATAAAGCACTGTTCTACAAAGTGTTTTAAGTTGACGCCTGTCATTCACACACACTAATATATATGGAAAACAAACGGGCACCAAACACAACATTTGTAACTTTTAACCTGCACTAAACCATCATTTGTATTATTTTGAGTGTTTACAAATACTAGTGTGTAACACTATTACTATGGTGATAAATATAGAAATATTCATATTGAACATTTAATCTGTGTCTATAATAATCAGATCCTGAAATGTGACATTTTGATTTTCTGATTAGAGCAGTAAGGTTCAGATTTAATTGATTTTGATTAATCACATTAATGAACATATAAACACCATTATATCTTTACAGGGGGTGGGGGGTATTGGGTGTATACATATATATACTGTATATGTGTGTGTGTGTTCAAACAGTAATTATAACAATATATTGATTGGGTGGGTTTCTGTGTGATGGGGCGGTTTTTAACAGACTTTTGGCTGGAAAACCTAAACTCTATCTGGCAACACTGCCCCCACCATCTGCTTCTCGGGTCGCCCCACATGGCAGCTCTCTGCTCCACATAGAGGCCTGTGGTAGCTCGGTGGTCTGTGACCAGAAATGTACCGATCCTGTTAGAATTTCAAAGGCAATTTTTCAGTTTTATAGCCAGCTATACTCCTCTTCTTACTCTCATACAGATGCTGAAACTCTCTTTGAATCTGTCAGAGAACAGATCCCCACTGTGGACGAAAGTTTTAAAAATATATGTGATGCAGAAATCCGAATGGAAGAAGTAGAAAAACGTTGATTTGTTTAGCCTTAGACAAATCTCCAGGCCCAGATGGTCTAACGAGTAACTTTTATAAACACTTTTGGACACACTTAAAAGACTTAATATTTAATATGCTAAAAAAAATATCCACAATGTTTATCTTACCTACTACAATGAAACAAGGAGTTATAACCCTAATTCCCAAACCTAACAAGGACTCAAAAATAATTGACAACCTCCGTCCCATAACTCTATTAAACAATGATTACAAAATACTCACTCATATATTCACAAATAGATTAAAATGTGGTATTACGGACATTATTTCAGACACACAATCTGGATTAATCAAAGGTCGCTTGGTTCACAACAACATTAGACTTATATTGGATTTACTGGACTATAATCATCTAATAGAAGATGACGGATTTATTCTATTCTTGGACTTTTTTCAAGCTTTTGACATGATCGAACACAAATTTATCTTTCAAACCTTAGAACTTTTTGGATTTGGGAAACAATTCTTAAATATAATTAATTAATTTATAAGGACACAAACAGTTCAGTTCTATTACCACAAGGTACATCTCCTAGATTCTTCATTGGCAAAGGTATTAAACAGGGATGTCCAATTTCACCCCTATTATTTATTTTAGCAGCTGAATTGATGTCTATCCTCATCAAACAAATGAATTTTGAAAAACTAACAGTGTTGGGTCAACAATTAACAATTAGCCAATTAGCTGATGATGTAGCAATATTTGTTAAAAACTCCGACCAACTCCCTATAATCCTTGAGACAGTAGAATTTTTCTCTAAAGCATCTGGACTAAAATTAAACCTCAACAAATGTGAATTACTACCTATTCATAATTCTGATCAATCAACCATTCACAATATTCCTGTTAAAACCACTATAAAACACTTGGGCATACATAACTAAAGACATGGACCCTTTAACGAAACTCAATATCTGGAACAATCTGGAAAGAAGCCAAACATATCTGAACTCTTGGTCTCAGAGAGACATTTCAATCATAGGCCGCACTTTTCTTACAAAAATGGAATGTATTTCTCGTTTAATCTACCCTGCCTACTCATTATCAATTCCTAAAACTGCAATTAAAACTATAAATCAAGCAAATTTCAACTACATTTGGAAAAGGAAAACACTTTATATTAAAAAAGGCTCTATGACACAAGAATACAGAGATGGAGGTCTTAAGGCAATAGACTTTGAATGTATTGATGGCACAATTAAAATAAATTGGGTGAGACACTATCTTAAAAACCAACAAAAACTCTGGTTTTATATTCCTAATGAAATCTTCAAGAAATTAGGTGGCATTGAATTTCTCCTCAAATGTGACTATGACCCAAAAAAGCTCCCCCATAAACTCTCATCATTTCATCAACAGGTTTTACTCTACTGGAAAATGATTTACAAACACAACTTCAGTCCCCACAACAGCCCACTTTAGAACTGCAGATATATATTACATAACCGTAAATCTATATTTCTACAAAACTGGTTAGATAAAGGCATGTGGTCTGTTTTACACTTGTTCGATTCGACAGGGGAGATTATAACATTTGAAAAATTTAGTTCCAAATTTAACTTGACTGATAAAAAACAATATAAGAAAGTGATTAATGCAATACCTCAAGCTATAATAATAATGACATCTATGCTCCAAACACGAATCGTCCCCCGCTTTTAGTGAATAATCTAAATCTTTTGGACTCCAAACTAAACAACTATGCTATTAGTTTCATATTTAACAACGAGCTGTGTCCCTGCTCCTCTTCCCGAAACACAATTCTAAATTCCTTCTCCAGAAAAGATGCTGAACAATTAAGATCAAAATTTTATAAATTCCCTGTCGCACCTAAAGCAAAAGAGATTAGTTTCAAAATTATTAACAGAATAGACCGTTCTGCTGATTTTCTATGTAAACGCTTTGGCTTTGAACGTACTAACTGTTCATTTTGTAACGAACTTGCTGAGACCACTGACCACATTTTTATGATTGTGTATATACGAATGCCTTTTGGGATGATTTACATCACTGCTTGTCAAAATATATACAGATTCCAGAACTGAAAATTGAAAATGTCTTGTATGGTTTTATCACAAAAAACTCTGTACATGGTCTGATGATGAACACTATTTTCATTCTAGGAAAGTTTCTTATTCACAATAATAGATTTCTTAAAGTTAGACCAAATTTTGTTGCCTTTCACAGAGAACGGTGCCTCCTTGTCATCATTCATTCAACCTTTATTTAGACGGGTACATCCCATTGAGCCTTGAGGACTCATTTACAAGAGAGACCTGATCGCTGAAACACGTGAGAAAGAAGAAGACTGCTGTGGGTCTCTGCAAGATGTAGAGGACCTTGATTTCATGGAAAACCCCAAACTCTACTCATGAGTACTGAACTGATTGTCTGATTTTATTTTGTTTAATTTGTCTCCTTTATAATCTTTATTTTTCTTTCTTTTTTGTTTGACGTTGTATTAGCACTGTTTAATGACAAATAAAGTAAAAAAAAAAAAAAAGCTCGGTGGTCTGTGGTTGTATCAGGAAGGACATCTTGTGTAAAAATAATTGCCAAGTCTTCATGTTAGTTAGCTGTGGTGACCTCTGAAAGAAAAAAAATATATATATATAATTTAACATTATTATTGTGTATGTGGGTACTTCATCTTTTTCACCCACATTAATCTTTTGTCCTGTATTTCAGCTTTAATAAAGTTGTGAGTTATGTTCAGAGTGGACCTAACGTGAGGCTGACTGATTGATTATTTCTGTGTCCAAGTTTGATTTTAGAGTTGACTCCACTTCAACCAACGCCCTTTAAATAACTGTGTTCTCTTTAAAAATGCCTATAAACTGCTTTCTCCGAACGAGCGCACGTAAATGTGAAACAGTAATAACGCACGTGACATTTTCGAGCGTGAGCCAGACGCTGACTGAAGCCGCCGCTACTTCCGGTAACTGGTGACGCTGCGTGGAGCGGAAGTAGAGAGGAAGAGGAGGAAGAAGAGGAGGCCAGCGTCCTGTTCGGTGTTAGCTCATTGCTCCGGCTCTGTCAGTAGTTGGAGTCCCCCCCACCAGCCCCCCTCGCCTCACGGCTATGATTGACAGAGTCAGCAGAGGTCTACACGGGCATGTCCGCACATTCTCTCGGTTCTTACCGTAACAGAGACCTGCAGCAGCGGCATGGCGAGTCCGGAGAAAAGAGCCCCGAGCTGCGGGCGCTCTCACACAGGGACGAGAACACCGTGTGTCGGATTCTTCAGGATGCTATTTATTGCTTTTATTCACTCGACGCGGGCAAATAAACAAGGTTTGTAACTTAGCGGGCTAACGTTAGCCAGCGCTAACTTCCGTGGACGTTTGATGTCGGCGTTGACCTGTTTGGTTAACTTTACCACAGCTAGCTGCACTCTTCATAAACAAATGTTCCTTATTAACGAGGCTTCACTGTGGGCTGAGCTGTGTTAGTGTCTGAATGTGCATGTTGGCCCGATTCGGAATGAATCTGCCCTGAAGCGTTAGCTCGGTTGTTGTCACGGTGCTCCATATATGGCTGTTTACAGTGACATGGCACGAGACACACGGACACGGTTACCGCAACGAGCCCGAACATGTTATTAGATGATCCAGATGCGCTGGAATGAAGATCTGTCCGATTGTTGGCTACTCGTGCCGTGCACTTTGAGGGATGTTTTGGGACGAGTCTGGTTCGTGAACGTGGCTGTTTTGGTTCGTCCATGGGTCCACAGAGCCAGAGAGGTGCTGCTGCCGCCTGTCCTGACCGCAGGTCAGAGAGGCTGCTGACACCCACAGACATCAGCCGTGGGAACTTTGAAACCTGCCTCCGAGATGTTTACAATCAGTGGGACTCACAAACCTGACCCCACAGTGGGTCAGGAAACACCAACAGATCCACTCCAGAGCTCAAACCCAGCTTCAGAAAGGACTGCTGATGGTCCTACATTTTTCAGTCAGGTCATCTGGACAGTTTCTTTTTTTGTGTGTGCTGAAAGGACTGATGAAGCCTTCCGGATCGAAGGCGAAACGTTTCAGCACAAAAAAAGAAACTGTCCAGATGACCTGACTGAAAAATGTTGGATTGTATACCTGGATTATTGAGCATGGACTTTGTTGACCGGGCAGCACGGTGGCGCAAATGGTAGAGCTGCTGCCTCTCAGCGAGCAGGTCCTTGGTTCAAACCCCGGTCCAGGGGCCTTTCTGGGTGGAGTTTGCATGTTCTCTCCGTGCATGCGTGGGTTTTCTCCGGGTACTCCGGTTTCCTCCCACAGTCCAAAAACATGCATGTTAGGCTGATTGGTAACTCTAAATTGTCCCTAGGTGTGAGTGAGAGAGTGAATGATTGTTTGTCTCGTTTGTCTCTATGTGGCCCTGTGATGGACTTGCGACCCGTCCAGGGTGTACCCCGCCCCTCGCACAGTGACTGCTGGACATGGGCACCAGCGACCCCCGTGACCCAAAATGGAACAAACGGGTAAAGAAAATGGATGGATGGATGGATGCATTGAAAGAATGCATATTGCTCATCATGGTCCATGCCACAGTTTTAAACAAAAACCGTCTTTGAGAAATGGCAACATCCGCTCAAATCTTGATCAGTCTGTTGAGGATGACACATGAAATTAGCTCAGCATCTGTAAAAGTTGACACGGTTCTAGACATTTTGAGCGTCCTAATCCCAGTTGAATGTCGCAGCCATCTTGAATTTAGTTGACTTTGACAGTGAACTTGTTGATCTACATCCAGTGATTACTCTTTGAAAGTTTCATTTAGATCTACCCAGTGGTTCGTGAGAAAAATTTCAAACAGTGTTGACCAATGACTATTAACTTACTGACTCTTGATGTTGCACAGGGTGTAGCTCAGCATATGTGTTGTGAATTACTCTCAGCTACTAACACACCAAATTTTAGCCCAGAATCTGTAAAACTGATCAAGTTAAAGCATTTTTGCCTTTTGGCAGTGGACGATAAAAATAGTTATAATGGGGGTTTTTGTTGCCATGGTGCTCGTGACTGGTTTTGTTCCTACTCTTCATAAAGGGGTGTCTCAAATCGCTGCTTGTGTTATTTTGTGGCCAAAATATGAAAGTTTCTGGGAGTAGTTGCTTTAAATCTTTTAGGAGGTGCGTGGACTTCGTTATCTTCCCTCAGCTCTTTATCGCTGAATCGATTGTTGCGCTTTTCTGGTTGACCCATCAGCACATAGTCTGTTTTTGTAGTAGTGATGTGCGATTTAAAAGAAAAATGTCAATGCTTTCTGTTTGAATTTGACCATCAGATGAACTTAGAGTTGCACTTCATCAATAGTCATCCGTCAGGTCAGGTTTGTTCGGATTATTTCTGTAATGTCTAAAAGCTAACAATGTTTAATCGTGTCTTGGATAAACTAGATTTAATCTGTGTAATGACAACGGGAAGTAATACAGGCGAACTTTTAATTGTTGATGTTTTTAGATCTTCTGAATTTCTTGAGGTAATTTCAACAAAAGTTGTAGGTTACACAGTAAACACGAGCGTCCCTGCAGAAAAACAAACTTTAAACACAATATGCAAAAGCTGATCTTAAAGCACTAACTGTGGGGCTTTGTTAATGTTTTAAAGTTGGCTGCTGTGGAAGGTAATAAGATACAAAGCAGAGCTGAGATTTAAACTCTGCAAACTCACAGAGGTCCATGCTTTGAGGACGTCATCAGCTGACGCAGAGACGGCTGCTTCTCTAAATTCAGTTGTTAACTGTGTGATTACGAAGGATTTACTACCTTTTTTCACAGCCTGACACCTTATGACATCCAAAAATAGACTTGCACTGTGTGCACATGGTTCGCAGTGGTGGATGAAGTGACTGTGCTCCTCTGTTCAAGCCATAGGTCCACACACACACACACACCGACACACAGCACAGATATCAAACCTGAACTTTCTCCCGTCTGTGCAGAATACAGTAGATTATCTTTAAAAACGGTTCTTTTGTTTCCAGCAGATACCGTGGCTGCCAGTCGACAGGTTTGGATTTGTGAGAAATGGAGGAAATTTCATAAATCTTTTTAATATCGTCTACTGGAGTACCATTTCTTTTTAATGATAGAGTATTTGACTGCCCCCGCTCATACGACTCCTTAGTGTGTTTAAAATCAGTCTTATCCTCGTCAGGCATGTTGGGTGGTGGTTTGTCTTGCAGATCAGCTACAGTTGTGGTAGCCCAATCAGTAGCATACAGATGGCGCCATGCTTAATGTCTGATTTCACATGTACCCCTTCAGCTTTCATAAGTCATAAAATATGTTCTGAAATTCAAAGCAGCGTTTTTAATGTTGGTTTTAGGAGTGATGCTCATATGGTTTGGTGTTGTTGCTTTCACAGCTTTCATCCAGTCTGACACAATTCTGGAGGTCCTACATTTTGGTGAGGGAAGCCTTTTACAGGTAAGGATATTTATTATCTTCTTCTTAGCTGCTTTTATTGAAGATGTTATCGTTTCCATTAAATATAAAAGTATACAATTACAGAGCAAGGCCGTGCTGTTAAATGAAATACTGTACATAAATGATTTTTTTTTTTTTTTTTGTAAATACTTCTGGCTTGTTTCTGTTTTTCTTGCAGGCAGAGTCTGACATCGATTTTAGTTTATATCATCAACAGAGGTATGAAATGTTCTTTGTTTGGTGCAATAATTGACATACAAGTGAACAGATTATGTTGCTGGGCGTCACTTTGGAAATATATTCACACTTTGACCAGGTTGTTTGCCGTTTTAATCTTTTGCTACAAAGTAATAGGGTTGGGAATCTTTAGGTACCTCATGATTTAATCACAGTTCAGGGGGCTGCTGCATAACTAAACACTGATTTGTTGACTTTCATGCGTAATAAAGAGCATACAATAAAATAAGTAAGTGCTATGTGTCGTCATCATTGTATGTTTCCACACAGTGGTGAAATTAGTTCTCTGCATTTAACCCATCACACCTGGGATGCACCCAGGTGGAGCAGTGGGCAGCTATGTAGGCGCCCGGGGAGCAATTAGGAATTGGGTGTCTTGCTCAGAGACACCACGGCATGTGGGAATGGCTGGGGATCAAACCTGGGACTTTCGGGTCTCAAGTCGGCTGCACTACCTCTACCCCATCTCGGTCTCTATAAAATGAAAAATAAATAAAATCATAGCCGACCAACAATTAGCATGGATGCTAGCAAGAGACAGATGTTGGATTAATCTTATTAGGGTTCAGTGAAGATGTGAAAACAGCCACAAGCCTGCACAGATTAAAAACAGAATGTATTTTTGACATTTGGAAATCCATGTCCACAATGTGGAGCATTTAAAGATAGATAACCCCCACTCCTACAAAGTAAACATGAAGGAATGCAAGATTTGTCACATGCAACTTGTTTTAGTGTTTTCTCAGTTTTACTGCAACTATCATAGTTTTAGCTTAAAATAAAAACAAGACCAGCATACAGGCTGCTGAAGTTGGGCTTTAACAAACACATTGTCAACATCTGTGGTCATGCAAACAGAAAGGCTACTTTGTTAAAACTTACCAAACCAACAGGAAATTTATCCTCCAGCTGCAAAGGATCTTGCTGGGCAGAGAATATAATCTTTGTTTATTCGTGGGCTGCCGTATGCAGTAAAGGGTAACCACAAGTTAAAAATGGTCCTTGTTAAGCTTCATAAGATTGACTTCACACAGTGACCCTCAGCAACAGTTGTGTTCAGCAGATGAACCTCGGACATCAGTGCGTCTAGTCTGTGTGCACACAACATGGCTGACTATGAAGCACTTGAGGGAAGTTGTAGTTTGCGTTCTGCACTCTGTTACACCATCTGCTTTTATTCTGTTTGAACTACAAAGACTTAACAGCTGGAGGCTGCACTGATTTGTCGTGTTCAGTGTGATTAGCTGGAACATGTTACCTGGAACAGGTAGAAGTGCAAAAACACAAAGGTCCTGTTGCTGGAAGGAAATATGTTGAAGTTTGCTAACTGGTGGCACCATGTTGCTGCTCTGTGGTCAGCCAACTCTGTGTCAGTCACACGTGAGTTTGGTGCAGGCGCGCCGTATGGTTTGCACAGTTTATTGAAATCTATAAAACACAGGGGAGTGGTGGCGCAGAGGTTAGAGAAGGTGAGCCTGTGATTGGAAGGTCGCCAGTTCAACTCTCCAAACCGACATCAAAAAATGTGGGCGGGAAATGTGAAACATCCACACCTGCCTCCATCTTCATTTGTCCCACTCTGGGCCTTTGAGCAAGGCCCTTAACCCCCACCATCTGCTCCCCCGGGCGCCCTAGATAGCAGCTCTGCTCCACATAGAGGGCTGTAGTAGCTCGGTGCTCAGTGGTTGTGTCAGGAAGGGCATCCATTGTAAAAACAATCACCAAGTCTTCATGTGAGTTAGTTCTCTGTGGCGACCCCTGAAGAAGGGAGCAGTCGAAAGAAGAAGAAAAAAATAAATAAATTGATATCTATAAATCAGGATATCTTTTAGGATCGTGGTGTGAGCGCTGCTCCGGTAGCGTTCTGTTGTTTGAGTGTTATTTTATTAAACGTCACACTTCCTCTTTTGTCTAGCTGTGCATGCACAGAGCTCAGAAACCTTTTTGAGCAAAGATGCACTTCCTCAGGAAATAAACACTTTTCATGTTTATTTTTAAAAATTCTTTATGCTCTTGGCATTTTCAGGATGCCCCGACATAAAGCATATAAAAGGTCTGTAAGAAAGTGGCTCAGATCTCTCCAACTTACGCACTGTACGCACATTAGTCGGGTGGGGTTGTTTAGGAGTTATTATTCAGAGGGCTGCAGCACTGCTATAAAGCTGTTATTGATGCATTTCAGCTAGCTTAAACTGTTGTGGCTATGGCTTATTTTACATAAATCAACACTGATTTATAGATTTCTGCATCTAGTAAAGAGTGCACAATGTGTAAAAAAAAAAATCAATCACAGGCTTCTGACTAACAATTATTATAAAACTAACTTTATTTTGAAAATGCCACAGTAAAGCTAACATGATTACCATCATGCTGAACACGGGAAATTAAAACGTAAATCAAAAGTTTGGGTTATTCCTGAAGTCTGTAATGTTTTGATAACTTCACACATGATTTACTAACATGTTTTCTTCAGGGATCAGCAAAAAAAAGTTAAAAAACACGCGAGAACACCCAGATTTACTGCAACACGTTTCTACTGCAAGAAGCGACGGTAACTATTAGGATAAATGGCACCACACTGCAACTACCCCCTCCCCACCCCCCCAAAATAGCAGCTCAGATTAAATAACAGATTTTTGACATTTGATAAGTCGGAATCCTCCTTGTTCGTAATGTAATTGCATCTAAAATGAGTTTTAACATGGGTAGTAATTGAAAGGTACCAGGATCCATCTGAATCTCTTTCTCCTACAAGATTTTGGCAGCAGTTGTTATTGTAATGGCAGAGGTGAGGACAGGCTGTTGGGCGACAGATTATCCTGGAGGGTAGCGGTGAATGGTGGACGACTGTACGTCCCCGAGGGGTGAAAAGCCATCCACCCACTGATCTGCTTGGCTGTTGGAGCACTGTGCTGTGGCTATTGTCTGCTCCTGTGCACTAATGCTTCATAGTAAAAAGGTGAAATTAATCTCGGGTTTTTGTGCATGCGATCTCTTCCCAGGTATACATGTTGCAATGAGTCAAAGCTCTGCTGAGTGCCACGTCTGCATTACTGATGAACTTCTCTTTGCATGAGATTTACATAAAGGCTCATATTACACGTTATTAGTTGTCTATTACTTGTAACAAAGAGGAGTTGTCTCCTTGAGGGAAGGGCCCAGTTTATTGTGTGGATACACCTGTTGTCGAACAGGTTTGGTGAGTTATTCAAGCTGGCAGGTGGTAACCAGCGTTTAAAAGATGATGCTTGTGTGAAAGAAACATGACGGTCTGAAAGTCATGGTCGGAGCTCTTTTCTCTCATTTCCCTCCTGCCGTTTTTATGTTTCAATTTATATTTTCAGAAAAACTTTACATATGGAAATGGTGCGCAGCGGATGGGAGTGGTCGCGTTGTCGATCTGCTTCTCTAATTAAAGCCAATCTTGTTGCCGGAACTTGTGCTTGTAGCCTCTCAGGCGTTTGAAATGAACACAAAGATGGAGTCGTTTTGTCCCTGCCTGTTCCTGCTGCTGTCACATCTTTCTTTCTTTTGCAGCACGTCCCCGCACCGTGGGAACTGCCGACCTATACGATTTGAACCTCCAATGTTGGACTTTCATGAACAGTGAGTTTATTTATTTATTTTTTTTAAAGCTCTGCTCTCTTGATTTGATGTGATGTGGTGTGCTCCCTGTCATTCATGTTGAGTTTATTTTTTCCCTTCTGAGTTGCTCTAATTTGTTGAGTGAAATGTTCACAGATGTGCTCAGTCAGTAAGCAGTAATATAGGTTTGACATGTCAAATAAAACTTACTTTGAAGTAAAAGCCTACCAGATTTTAGATTGGGTGTCAATGTATGGAATGTCACAAGTTGTTTAACTCTAGTGCCAGCGAGTAGCTTCTCCCACACTAGATCACATTTCATGTTGATAGTGGGTGCATACCTGCGTAGTGTGTCAAAGCTTTCCATATCCAGAGTGCAGATTCAGGAGTAACTCTCAGACACACGGCTCCTTTGACCCATCCTCCTCTGACCTCTATTCCTAACAACAATCCACTCATCATTTCTGAACATTTTGATGGTTGGAACAAAAAAAGGCCTAGCATTTCTTGAAGGAATGCATATTGCCTGCACATGCTAGAGTTTTATACTAAAATAATTCCATACATAGAATTGTTAGTTGTAGCTGCTGTTTCTCTTTATTAGTATCTCATGTAATCTGATTCTGCTCATAGTATATGTTAAAAAATAGAGCTTGGTTTATATGGAAATTTTGGCTTTCGGTGAAACCAATATCAATATTGGGAGGGGAAAATGGCCGCTGATAATTGAAATAATGGTTGAGAATTTTTGAGCTTTGTCCAGTGGTGTAAGGGCAGGACAGCCGACTCTGGACCTGAAGGTCCTGGGTTTGATCCCCGGTCATTACACATCTCATGGTGTCTTTGAGCAGGACACCCTTTCCCAGTTGCTCTCTGGGCGCTTTCCGTAGCTGCCCACTATGGATGTAACGGTACGCTAAAATCACATTTCGGTTCGGTTCAGTTTCAAGGAGGGCTCGGTTCGGTTAATTTTCGGTACAAAAAAGGTCAAAATAAAGACTTAAAAAAATGTTTATTTTGAAAATATGTCAAGTAAACAAGTTCAGTCTTTACAGATTTCTTAGCTGGAGGGGATCTGGTGGATGAAGAAGACTCAGCTGCTGTCATCCTCAGACTTCAAACAACACAGATAAAAAAAATTGAGTTAATAAGATCATTTTAAATTAAAAAAGTTAATTAGATCACAATAATACAATACCTCTTCTTGCACGGTCATCATAAAGTGCTGCTACAACTTTTTGGCTGAAGTGTTGACGTGATGGGTGTCGTAGGCAGCAGGGCTCAAGAACTTCATGCTTAAAGCCGGCTCATCAACAACATTTGGACATAGATCCAGAGCTTTAAAAACTCCTACAGCTTGTGTTTTTGCTTTGGACCGATCTGAATTACCTGATAAAGGTTGTTTAAATGCTGCTGTTATCGGTCTTTGCACCAAACTACGTTCACATTTGGATGATGTCGTTTCAAGAGCGTTAAAAAGTTAGATGTTTTGCTGCTACAGATCCAATCTCAATGAAACAACGTCGACACACAGCTTTGGATTTGTTCACTTGTCTTTTATCAAGAAAGCCATAATGTTCCCAAACAGGAGGCCGCAATGAGATGGCTTGTTCTTTGCCTGCTAGGCTGCTAATGCTACGCGTGCTGCAAGATAATAGCGCCGTGTTGAAACACGTGTAGGAACTTTAGTTCTGCAACGCATAATCTCTCATTAATAAAATTTAATGAGTGAAAAAAAACCCAGAAATGGTACACACATGGACCTTACCGAACATGCTGTATAGAAACTGTTCAATACACCCACGTGCACTGTTACACCCCTACTGCCCACTGCTCCACCTGGTGGTGGATGGGTTAAATCAGAAAGCCATTTTATGGGAACATACAATGGTGACAATACATAACACATTATTATTATCCCAAGGATCTAACAAAACCGCGAGTGGAGCGAGGCTTATTTATTTAGCACAGTTGTTAGCAACCATGAAGCTAAGCTATTCAGATCCATGCTATACTTGGTGCCACAGTAGATTTACAGGTGGTGCACTGGTCATAAAAACAGTCTTCCTAACGTGCGTTCACATTTTCTATCCTCCACTATTCACCATGAAGTTAAGTGTATTACAAAAATATAAATTAAACAAAGAAACACCTTTCCAGTAGCTGAGTAGTTAGAGCAGTCGTCCTCCAATGCAAGAGTTGGGGGTTCAATTCCACCAGTAGTCACATGCCCAAGTGTTCCTGGGCAAGACACTGAACCCCTCATTGCCTCCGATGTGTGTCCCGTCGATGTTTGAATGTGATAAAGCACTGATTGTTCTTTGTACATATATAGTAGATGTCTGTATGAATGAGAGCACAGATTGTGTTTTAAAGCACTTTGAGTGTCTTGATAAGATAGAAAACCACTATATAAGTGCTGTCCATCGTTTAAACAGTCACGTATGGTGAAGGTCTAATTTAGTATTGACCACTGTGACGTTTATTTTTTCTTTGCAGAGAAGTAAAGATTTCAGACAAACAATGCATTTCATTGAGGACACAAAGATAACATTGCTAATACTGGATGTCCTCACAAACTGGATAGATTGTACAATTACAGCTAGTTCCAGCATTTTAGGGATGAAAATTAGAAGTATTTATATTGGTGCATAACGGGACAAGTTATCAAAGATACCGACAGGACCCCAAATGTCTATATCAGCCTAAAATATTGGCCCTACTGATCAAATTTGAACACGTCTGTAAAATTGGCTGAGTTTTGGACATGTTTGTGTTGGCTGAGATTATCTTTAGCAAACATCTTAAACTGGACTAACTCTATAAGTTGATCAGTTGGAGATGTTCATCCAGTTATTACATTCTGCTAATTTTTTTTATTTGAATCTGCTCTGTGGTTCATGAATTTTACAGTACATCAGATATTTTTCTAACAGAAAGATGGGGTTGACTCCAGCACATGTCAAGTGATTCACGAGATATTTTGCTAACAGTTAGTTTACTCCAACAGTTCATTAATGTTGATGTACAATAAAAGAACAAAACTGCACTACATGATCTGTGGAGCAAGGAGAAGAGGAAAAGCACCCTGGGTGTCACATCAGTTCAACTTGATTTTCATACCATCGTATTTTCCTATCAGCCCCAGATTGATATGAAGTGTGTGTGTGTGTGTGTGTGTGTGGGGGGATAAGTTATCATTTGCTTTATTTGTCAGATTAACAATGTGGATAGATTGTTCCACTGTCAAATCTTGTTCCCACAGGGTTAGACCAGGTAATTTACTTTAAATCTCTGTAAAGAGAAGTTCAAATCTCCTGACCCGTTACTGCTTTTTCCCCCTGAATTTCCTCACAACCCATTGATCTACAACTTCTTCCACGTCATTGACAGTTTTGTATAAAAGCTCTTTGTTTCCACTACAACTGATTTAAATGTATCTTCCTTTAATGCTTACATGCTCTTATGAAGTCTTCTCTTCTTCCCCTACAGGCCTGTTGGAATGCCAAAAATGGAGAAAGTTTATTTATATAATCCTAGCTCAGAAGAAATTAGTTTGATATCAATATCGGCAACAACAGCACATTTTCACGCCTCCTTTTTCCAGAATAGGGTAAGTGGTTTCACTTTTATGTTTGTTGAGAGATCTGATCAGAACAGTTAATCTGTTACAGAAAGTGACACTGTTTTAATTTCCGGTCACTTCTTTGTGTGGGATCATAAAGCATCTGACACCCCTCTCCCCCATCAGAAATACTTCAGTGTTGTGTCATTACATCAATTAAAACACCTTTTTCAATATATTCTCCACCTGTTGTATTCTTAATTTCCCTAAAAGACGGCAGTGCAGGAGGATGTTTCTCGTGTTATCCCTGCAAACAGAGATGTAACAGTATTCACATGTTCTGGTACAGCATGAAAAAGAAACAAATGCCAAATGGTCCCCACTCATTTTAAACAAACAATAACCTTTCCAGAAGCTGAAACAAAAACATATTCATATTGGAAGTGAAAGTGCTATGCGTTGTCATCATTGTCTACCCATACTATGCTGAAATCTCTCCTCTGCGTTTCACGCGAGACACTCCCAAGTGAAGCAACGGGAAACGGTTAGGGAACAAGCTTCTTGCACAAGGACAACACAACATATTGGCATGGTGGGGAATCGAACCTTCCTTTCCTGTCCCCAAGTTGGATGCCACATCACAGATGAGTCATTCATATGAGTCATCCAACCACCCTGCTCAAAGTAAACACAACCATGGCCGGGGTAGAATATGGGCAGGCCGACTGCAACATAGCAGGTCATGTATACCATAATTAAAATTTATTCTACGATAATAGTAACTTTAATATAAAATGAAAACATTAAAAAGTCCCATTGCACTCTTATTCATCCAGTTTAAACTAAACACATGGCTCTGGTTGAGGTTGTGTATAAAGAAAGTTTGATAAACTCCAAAAACTGAAAGGTGTCTCTTTTGTTAGAATGGAAAAAGTGTGAAACACTCACAGCAAGCTTCTCAGCTAGTGAGCTGCTGTTCATACACGAGTGGTGCATATTCAAAGTCTTATGTATTTAATAGGACTGGAACACGATAAAAAAATATTTGTTACAAGCCTTGTCATACAATTTGATTAATTATATTTTAATCACGTTTATCAAATAACAATATTTTACACCATAAGCAAAGATTTTCAATTCTAATAACTTATGGTTGACCGCTGAAATGATGCATAAACATGCCTGAACTTGAACAACGAAAATGCTTGGGTTTTTGTCTTATATACTCATTTTTGTCAAAAATAAAGACGCAATACTTTTTCTGTAATTATTATATTTATGATTATTGCTTTATTATATTTGTGATTATTGCTTTATGTCCTGGCTTTAGTTTAAAGCGATGTTTTTAGATGCTAGAAGACTTTTCAAAATGTACAAAATATGAGCCTTTTTCTCTTTCCCTGAATCCAAATCTTGGTGTTTACCTTCATCACTGGAACAAACCTTTTCCACACTTCTGATTTAAGAAAGCTTTAAAGTTTTTGAACGGCAAACTCAAAGCTATTTAGAAACAATGACATAGCAGCATGTTTTGTACGTGTTTACTAGAGCCTGACAGATATGGGAATTTTGGCTATCATCAATACAGATACAGTCTAGGGGTGCACCGATTGCAGTTTTCTTGCTGATCACGATTTCTAAAAAGTGTGTCGTATCGATTCCGAATTTGGCTGATACCGATTTTGACAGCGACACTGTCAGGTGTTATAAGGTCACGATGCACCTTCAATGTTCCAGTCTTATGTTAATGAAAAACATGCCCTTTCCCAAAATTACGGAAATTGGGGCCGATAAATTGGCCCTAATGCAGTCCCCTCCAAAAGTTTTGGAACAGCAAGGCAAATTCCTTTATTTTTGTTGTACACTGAAGACATTTGGATTTAAGATCAAAAGATGAGCATGAGACAAGAGTTCAGAACGTCAGCTTTTATTTACTTGTATTTCCATGTAGATGTGTTAAACAACTTGGCATATACAGTAGTCCCTCGCTACTTCGCGGTTCATTTATCTCGGACTCCCTCTATTGCAGTTTTTCAAAATAAGATTGGACATGACACACAATTGGCTGTTTGATGGATGAGCCGCACGATCGGCATGGAATTTTTATTTTAAATAAATTATTTTAAATTATTTAGCACCTTCTGCACATCTGTGCATCCCAGAACTGCAGAAAAAGCTTCCTCCTGCACCTTTGTGTAGCCCACACTGCAGGATAAACTTCCTGCTGCAGCTGATCTGCTGTTCTCCATGCAGAGCGGAGAAGTAAGCGTGGCCAAGAACGCTTGCAGGCGGCAAAGTGCAGAGGAGGCAAGGAGCTGAAATCATGACATTCTGTGCTCTTTTAGAGCATTTAGACTTTAGAAACATTGTTTAAAATATTGCAAGAGTGTGGGAAGGGTTTTAAATGCCTTTATATATATATATATATATATATATATATATATATATATATATATATATATATACTAAAGTAAACTACTACTTACTACTACTTGTACTACTGTATCACTATTTGTGTTACACTACAGCATTCTTAGGTGAAGAAAAGTAAAGGAATAAATAATCTTAAAGTGAATAAAATTTAATATTTGGTGGCATAGCCGTTGCTTGCAATGACTGCCTCAAGCCTGCGATCCATCGACATCACCAAACTGTGGCATTCTTCATTAGTGATGCTATTCCAGGCTTTTACCGCAGCTTCTTTCAGTTCTTGTTTGTTTCGCTGGGTTTCTCCCTTCAGTCTCCTCTTCAGGAGGTGAAATGCATTCTCTGTCGGGTTAAGGTCAGGTGATTGACTTGGCCAGTCTAAAACCTTCCACTTTTTTTCCCCTAATGAAGTATTTTGTTTTGTTGGCAGTGTGCTTTGGTCATTGTCCTGCTGCATGATAAAATTCCTCCGGATTAGTTTGGATGCATTTTTCCCTGTAAACTTGCAGACAAAATGTTTCTGTACACTTCAGAATTCATTCTGCTGCTACTATCATCAGTTACATCATCAATAAATATTAATGAGCCTGTTCCAGAAGCAGCCATGCACGCCCAAGCCATGACATTACCTCCACCATGCTTCTCAGTTGAGCTTATGTGCTTCAGATCATTAGCAGTTCCTTTCTTCACACTTTGGCCTTTCCATCAGTTTGGTAGAGACTGATCTTGGTCTCATCAGTCCACATACAATCAGGTCTCTCTTGTAAATGAATCCCTGAGGGTCAATGGGATTAACTTGTATAAATAAAGGTTGAATGGGAAAAACAAAAAAAAGATTGTGTTCCAAGACTTTTGCAGCTCATCTCTGCCCTTCTTTGCAAATTGCAATCTGGCCTTCTGATTCTTACTGATGAGTGGTTTGCATCTTTGGGTATGGCCTCTACTATATATTTCTGCTCTCTGAATCTTCTTCGAACAGTGGATTGTGATACTTTCACCCCTGCACTGTGGAGGACGTTGGTGATGTCACTTACTGATGTTTTGGGGCTTTTCTTCACAGCACTCTCAATATTTCTGTCATCAACGACTGTTGTTTCCTTTTATCCAACCTGTTGGACGTCTGTTGCTCAGTACACCAGTAGTTTCTTCCTCTTTCGGGACATTCCAAATTGTTGGGCTTGCGATGCCCAATGTTTGTCCAGTGGCTCTGATTGATTTTCCTTCTTTTCTCAGCTTCAGAATGCCTTTCTTTTCTCCCATAGACAGCTCTCTGGTCTTCACGTTGGTGTGTCCTCTTTAACAAGAAATACCTACTTCATAGGTTTAAACATAGGCCAAAAAGTAGACTATTTAATGTTTGAACAATCAACGTTAAGGGCAACACCTGGTCAACAAGAAACACCGGTTAGACACATGTTCCAATGGTTTTGCACACTTGAAAAATGGGTGTGTTCAAATAAATGGCTGTATGTCCTGAGTTGTTTAACACATCTACATGAAACTAATTATTACTACTATTACTAATTATTGTCAAATTTCAAACAATATTCTCGTTTATCGCAATAATTTCTGAGTCAATTATTCGCCCAGCAAAATTTGTTATCGTGACAGGCCTAGTGTTGTTTTGTTTATTTAAAAGTGCAGAGATAAGAATATCTGTTTAAAAACCTTGCGAGTATTGTAAACAGGGCCTGAATATGCCTGATTAACACTGCAATCAACAGAGTGGTTAAACAGGGTTGAGCTAATGATGAAAACGAGAGCATTATCAGGTGTCTTATATCATCTGGTATTCAGTATAAGCTTTAAAATTGTAACACATTGTGGGGAGATAAAATTGAAGAAAAAAAAAGTTTTTAAAAAAGAAACTGGATACAGTGTACCAGGACATCTGATTAAAATAAACTCTGCTCCAGCAAGAAGGTGCATGTATTAAATATTTATTGTTTTGTTTCTAATAGGTTCATGCTGTTTTAACACACACCAGCAAACATAAAACACTCGTATATTCAGCGACTTATCTTTACTCCTTTTATTTTGTAAAATGTAATGTTCAAGATATAAAACTTTTAAATGGTATGTGAGGAATTTAGTAGGAAGGACTACATGAGATATGTTTCTGCTGGGAAAACTAATTCTGTTCACTGCAGGATGTTTTGTTGTTTTGAATGTCTTCCTCATTAATAAACTATTTTTTTACTGCTGAAATTGTTCATTTTACAAAAATCTAATAATGCATCTAAAAGGCTGTTCTCTTTAAGTAAATAATTACAGTGTATTATTGTTTACAGTGTAAGCTGTCATTGTTCCTGAAAATACAGAGGTGTGGTGTTTTTGTCTCAGTCTTGGTTTATCAACTACTAAAATGAAGAAGTTCCTCCTGTTAACGTATGATAACCTGTTTAGAATCCAAACAGTCCAGGTAGTACTGGTATGTGTAATGTACTCATTTGCAGAGGCTCTGTGTAAATTCTAACTCGTGATTTATAATTTAAAAAAATATACAGTATATACCTTATTGTTATTTTTTTTTTGCTTACTGCATGAATAAAACTAACTCTTGATGATTAATTTTTTTCTCAGTTATGTGTGGACTTCCTTTGGAAAAACTTGCTGTCAGGGTTCCCAACAACTCTGAAAATCATGAAAAATAAAACTGACTTTCATAATTTCCATGCAGGGAGAGCTCAGGGAATTTGAGAAAAACATCAACAATCGGGGAAATGTTATGGAATTTGAACACCGATCTGATTCAAAGATGATCTTTCTGAGATTTTAATAGAGATAGGGCAACTGACTTGGGACCACAAAGTCGCAAGCTCAACTCCCCACCAGGCCCACATGTCGTGGTGTCCTTGAGCAACACACCTAATCCCTAATTGCTCCCCGGGCACTTGCACAGCTGCCCGCTGTTCCACCTGGGTGTATCTCACGTGATGGGTTAAATGCAGAGAACTAATTTCATCATTGTATGTAAACATACAATGATGACAACACATATCACTTTACTTAATACTAGTATTCTAGTATGTCACAGTATCCTTATTGATTGGCTTTTGTGGCTTTTTAGTGTCTGATGTTAAACAGTGTAATAAATTATAGGAATGATTGCTGTATGCATGTACCATAGGCTACAGTATACTTCCTGTCATCTCTGAATGTGGCTGTCTGCCACCTAACACAATCAAAGGTTCAAGCAGACTTTGTCTTTCACATCACATGTGGTACATGAGGTGGAACGAATTTGTGTCCTCAATATCCCAGTTACACCCAAAAATAGCAAAAATATAAACTATATTAAAGGAAAGAAGAAACGGTATACAAGGATCTAAGACCTAAGACACACAGACCTTACACGCTAAGTTCTGAGCATTTTGTGTGATGAAATTCAGGGAATTCTGTTTTCATGAAATGCTGGGAACCTGCCTGTAGATACAGTTTGTGTAAGTGAAGCTGAAAAGTTGAACAAGGTTTTTGTAGATGGAAGTAATCAAGTTTGTACTTGAAACAAGAGGTACTTTAGGGGTTCAAGTTCAAAGAAGTTTTATTATGGAATAATTATTCTGTTTTTGGCTACATAATTTTACTAGTAATGGTTGTAGCTCGTTAAAATAAGACACTGAGCAGAAAATGACTTCAACTCATTCTATATCAAAGTACAGTAGTTCATGAATTCTAGCCCTCTAGTGATTTTTTTTGTCAGTTGTTTCTCTGCACAAACAGTGATAATTATTTTGGTCCTCATTTTGCTGTGTTTGAGTTGTTTTTGGGTCACAAAGGGTTCTCAGACAAGAGATGAAGGCAAATCAATTATAATTGTTGTTTCTCTAACATTTTCTGTGCATTTGTCATCCATTCACTGAACTTTAGCTCTTACATAAGTTTAGACAATGCATTAGTTAACATGAGGGTGAGAGAACTGTTTAATCCCTGACTGCAACCCCCTGGTATACTCCTCCACTTTGATACACTTCGATCACAAAGTACCCAGTCCAAAAGAAATTGGAAAATGATTACTCGTATACACTGCCTGGCCAAAAAAAAGGTCGCCACCAAAAAAAGGTCAGACACTAATATTTCGTTGAACCGCCTTTAACTTTGATTACGGCATGTATTTGCTGTGGCGTTGTTTCAATAAGCTTCTGCAATGTCACAAGATCTATTTCCATCCAGTGTTGCATTAATTTTTCACCAAGATCTTGCACTGATGATGATGACAGATTCTGACCACTGCTCAAAGCCTTCTCCAACACATCCCAAAGATTTTCAATGGGGTTGGATTCTGTTGTGGCCAATCCATGTGTAAAAATTATGTCTCATGCTCCCAGAACCACTCTTTCACAATTCGAGCCTGATGAATCCTGCCATAGTCACCTTGGAATATGCCCGGACCATCGGGGAAGAAAAAATCCATTGATGGAATAACCTGGTCATTCAGTATATTCAGGTAGTCAGCTGACCTCATTCTTTGAGCACATACTGTTGCTGAACCTGGACCTGACCAACTGCAACAACCCCAGATCATAGTACTGCCTCCACAGGTTTGTACAGTAGACATTAAGCATGAGGGGTGCATCACTTCACCTGCCTCTCTTCTTACCCTGATGCACCCATCACTCTGGAACAGGGTCAATCTGGACTCATCAGACCACATGACCTTCTTCCATTGCTCCAGAGTCCAATCTTTATGCTCCCTAGCAAACTGAAGCCTTTATTTCCAGTTATCCTCAGTGATTAGTTGTTTTCCTAAGGCTACACAGCTGTTCAGTCCCAATTCATTGAGTTCCCTTCGCATTGTGCGTGTGGAAATGCTCTTACTTTCACTATTAAACATAGCCCAGAGTGCTGCTGTTGTTTTTATTCGATTATTATTAACCTTTATTTAACCAGGCAAATCTCATTGAGATCAAGAATCTCTTTTGCAAGGGAGGCATGGGGGCAGTCTAACATGCATGTTTTTGGTCTGTGGGAGGAAACCGGAGTACCTGGAGAAAACCCACGCAAGCACAGAAGAACATGCAAACTCTCTACACAGAAAGACCCCAGGTCCAACTGGGGTTTGAACCCAGGACCTTCTTGCTGTGAGGCAACAGTGCTAACCACTGAGCCATTGTACTTCAATTTGATTTCACCAAACGTTTAAGTGATCGCCAATCACGATCATTCAGGATTTTTTTCCATCCACATTTCTTCCTCGAAGATGATGGGTCCCTACTATCCTTCCAGTTTTTAATAATGCGTTGGGCAGTTTTTAAACTAATTTTAGTAGTTTCTGCAATCTCCTTAGATGTTTTCTCTGCTTGATGCCAATGAATTGACCCTTCTCCACCAGACTGACATTTTTTCCACGACCATGCGATGTGTCTTTCAACATGGTTGTTTAAGAAATGAAAAGCAACTCATTGCACCAGTTGGGAGTTAAATAACTAGTTGCAGCTGAAAGATAATCACCCATGCAGTAATTATCTAATAGGAGGCTCGTACCTATTTGCTTAGTTAAATCCAGGTGGAGACTTTTTTTTGGCCAGGCAGTGTAATTTAAAACTCTAGTGTGGTCTTCATGTAAAAATACAACACTTGTAAACTTGGTCTTGGGATTATTTTTAAACAATTAATGTGATGGGGGGGGGGTGTTGTTAATACACATTTTTAGGATATGATAATCTAATACACACACACAACCACAATATGAAGTCTGCAAACTTTTAGAATGAATTCAGCCTCTAATGTGAACAGTTATCAACAATAAACATGTTCATATGCAAGCTTATATTTTTAACTGCGTACCCTAAATTAAAGAAATAAATGGTTCTAAATGGTAGGTGGTATAATTGGTGTGTGTATGCCTCTTGGTTGTTTCGTTTGTAGCTTTTCTGTTTGAAGAAACCTCCTGACCATAATGATCATTTTTTGTTTTCATATTTGCATCAGGCAAACTGTTTGTTCCCCTGCTGAAGGTGATGTTTATGAATCACTTGCGCTTTCATCATCTCAACTGTTTGCACACTTGGGAGAGTTTTTAATCACCATGATGGCACCACAAGAACTCTTTTGACCTGTTGCTATTTACATTTAATGGAGAGACACAGAAAGTATTTCATGGAAATTGACTGGGGGAAAAACACCATCTGAAACCACAATCAGTACCTAAACCTAAGTTAGCATGCAACTGTAGTGGGTTTTTTTTTTAGCAGTAGACCTTTCAGTTGTTTAGGAAGTGTGAAAGCTGTGCTTTTTTTGAATGGACCATCATCTCCTCTGGTATCTGTTTCATCATATTTCTTTCTCTTCTGTCTTACCAGATAATCCCACCAGGAGGGAACACGTCGTTTGATGTGGTGTTTCTTGCTCGTGTAGTTGGGAATGTAGAAAACACTTTGTTTATTAATACGTCACATCATGGAGTGTTTACATATCAGGTACAAACCAAACGAACACCTTCTGGAAAGTTGTCAAACGTTTGACCAACGCTGCCTTTTAATTTCTGCCCTCCAGGTTTTTGGGGTTGGTGTTCCAAATCCCTACAGACTGCGGCCCTTTATTGGAGCCCGGGTCCCAGTAAACAGCAGCTTCTCTCCTCTTATAAACATCCACAACCCATTCAGTGAACCTCTACAGGTAACTGGCACAGATTGCTGCTGTTAACATAAAATTGTTCACACTGGTTAGTGATCAGTTTGTGTGTGTGTTTGTTTTTTTTACCTCTGTATTGCTTCAGGTAGTTGAAATGTACTCCAGTGGTGGGGATCTACATCTGGAGCTTCCCACAGGCCAACAAGGAGGCACTGGAAAGTTATGGGTGAGTCCCTCTTGTCGAGGACAGTGTTTTACATCAGGCCTCATCTTGAGGAAAATTAAACGACTAAAGACAGTTGTGGTCTCCCCCTCCAGGAGATTCCTCCTTTTGAGACAAAGGGAGTGATGAGAGCCATCTTCTCTTCGAGAGATGTGGACAACCACACAGCTTTCATCAGAATCAAAACCAGCGCTCCAAATGAGGACCAGTACGTTGTCATCCCGGTAGAGGTGGAGGTCACATCAGGTGTGCCATTAACCCATTTTTGAGTGATATTTTTTCAGTTTACCTCCTGGATTTTATTAAGCTTTCTATTTTAATGGTTGACTGCAGCCCCTGGTATATACTCCTCCACAGAGATGCTTGACTTCGGTACACTTCGATCACAAGGTATATGCACTGTTAAACAAATCTACTTAAAATTTGAAGTAAAGCCTCTGATTGCCCCTCTGCTCTCCTTGCCTTATAGATCGTCCAAAGCTGCTGAATCTTCATCTTTTAAATTCAGGACCAAAAGACGTACCGATCACAGTACGTGTTTTCTTCAGTCTCTTAAAGCCCTTATTCTGTGTGTCTCCTCCTAAGCTAGTAGTGATCCAGTATTTTATTTGTGCTCTTCAGAGTGTACGCACAACACCGTCAAATGAAGCCGTCACAGTAGACTTCAAAGCAGTCACACTCAGAGCTGGAGAAAGCAGATATACAAAAGTTGCAAGCATCAGTTTTGATGGTGAGTGGTGTTGTTGTTTATATTGACCACCAGCATTCACATGCTGAAGTGTCGCTGGGCAAAACACTGAGCCTCTTGTTGCTTCCGATGTGTGTCCCATCAGTGTATGAATGTGATAAAGCTCTGATTATTCTTCATGTAGATCTAGTAGAGTGCTGTATGAATGGGTAAATGAGGACACAGATTGTAGTGTAAAGCGCTTTGAGTATCTTGACAGAAAGGTGCTATATGATACAATCCATTTATCATTTATGGATGAAATGATAGTTTCAGAAAACATTCAAGGTTAATACACTGAAATAGTTTGTTTCAGTGGGTTACGATGTGTTGAATCATTCTAAACCAGTTCCACTGAACACGGCAATGTTTCCCCTAGTTCACTTGCCTTGGCAGGGCGCTCATGTCTTCTAGGATTTTTGTTGTGGGGTGATTGGGGGGGGGGGGGGGAGACGGAGACACGTCTGTAATGAGAGCTTAGCACTACGTTAGTGCCGGCAGTCGTCGAACGGTGGGAGAGTTTGAGGATGCATTAGAGAAACGGTGCGCTGCTAGCTTAGCACTAAGTCAGTGTGGGCAGTTGTTGATGGGGGGGTGGGTAAAGGACATTTCAGTAGACAGGTGCTCGGTTCTGTTGACAGGGTGGGGCACACTCCTTGGGTAATGATAGAGCAGTGTTTCTCCTACCTAGGGCTGGACGATATGGCCAAAACTTTTATCACAATATATTTCTTAATTTCGGTCGATAACGATATAATTCGATATCGATATAAACAATTTAAAAGCCTCAGAAAAACTGTACAAACTAGAAATAAATTTATGTTCACCTTTTATTTGTATATAGCCTTCTAAAAATTTTGCGATCGCCGTCAAATAAACACAAAACTCTCAACTTTGTCATTTTAAAAAAAATTTATAAATTCATTTAAGAGAAACAAATTAAACAAAACAAATTCATCAACAACAAAATCATTGAATGAAAAGGGTGCAGAAAGAAGAATATCTGCCACTGTATTTAAAAAATATGTAAAATAACTACAAACAACAACAACTCAGGCTTGAACCCCAAAGCGAAAACAAAAACCATCAGGCATCCTTCACATGGTATCATACTTTCCTAACAACTTTAACTTAATCATCTTTTTAAACATATACATTTTTATGTTGATATCAAGGCAATTCCACAATCCTACTCCCTGAATTACAACGCAGCTCCTTCAGACTAGTTCTAAATGGAGGTTTTACAAACATTTCCATTCTTTTGAGGTTATAATGACTCTTTTTTTAAAATAAATTTTAATTGAATATTTGGTGGTAATATTTTTTATGAGCGTTATACATGACTTGTAAAATACTATATTCAACCAAATCATAAAATGTTAATAATTTCAATTAATAAAAGTTGAATGAATGAATGAATGATGAAATAATATAATTCTTGGGTGACCATAACACTTCCTACTAATAATTCTTATAGCTCTTTTTTGTAAAATAAAAATAGGATTTGTAATTGTTGTGCATGCTTTTCCCCAAACTTCAATACAATAGGACTTGCGACCGATCCAGGGTGTACCCAGCCCCTCGCACAGTGATTGCTGGACATGGGCACCGGCGACCCCCGTGACCCAGAATGGAAGAAATGGGTAAAAGATAATCTATGGATGGATGAATGGAGCAATCATTACATTATACACTTAGTGGGCGGCTGTGGCTGAGTGGTTAGAGCAGTCGTCCTCCAATGCGAGAGTTGGGGGTTTGAATCCACCAGCAGTCACATGCTGAAGTGTCCCAGGACAAGACACTGGACCCCTCATTGTCTTTAATGTGTTTCCCATCAGTGTATGAATGTGATAAAGCTCTGATTAGTCTCTTTAGAATGATTTGTTCAATTATTCTTTGTAGAGATCTAGTATTGTGATGTATGAATGGGTAAATGAGGACACAGATTGTAGTGTAAAGCGCTTTGAGTATCTTGAAATAAGATAGAAAAGCGCTATATAAGTACAGTCCATTTACCATTTACCATTAAACAATATATATAAAGCTTTGTCGTTCAAAAACTCTTTTACTTTATTTTGCTATTTTTATTCTTAAGTAATTTACATGAGATTTTCATATCACCTTCTCATTAATAACGACCTATATTGATAGTTTTAACTTTAAACACCATAACATAACCAATGCAGCAGACATTTGCTGCATGGGTTTCTCTTTTGATACAGCTGGGGGTGTTTCAGGGACACGTTGGCTCAAACTTTTATTGTGCTTCATCTTCTGACTCTCATCATATTCTATCGAGTGGAAACTCTTCAGATGAAACAAGTTAGACGTGTTCCCACCGCTAGTTGGAACGACCCTCCTTCACATTTTTCAGCACACTGACTGAAACCTGCACTTTATCAGAGCTTAGATAGCCGAACCACTTCCACACCGCCAAATTAGTCTTTCCTCTCTTGTCAGTGATGTCATCTGCTTTCTCTTCACTTGTGAAACCTTGTTCAGTCACATTCTGACGGTCATGGGCACTCATTTTGAAGCGAAAACTTAGCGAGCGTTGGAGATTAGCCTAGCCTAGCCTACTACTGCTGACTCCTTCTAGACTCGAGCTCTGCGTAACATCTACGTCACCACACACTTGCGTAGTTGTGTCGCACCTTTTTCTGTCCGGGTTGAAACTGAAGCGGCCGCTTCAACCTGAAGAGAAAAAGAAATGCGTCAGTGAAACACTGTAATGTATATCGAAACATAAAAAATGTGTTTAAAACTCATATCACCGTTATTGAATAAAAGAATATTGTGATATATATAGATATCGAATTATTGTCCAGCTCTACCCCTACCATTATGCAAGGAGGGTGCTCCGCCTTGTCAACAGAACCGAGCGCCCTGTCTACCCAACACCCACCCCCCAACAACTGCTAACACTAACGTAGCGCTACGCTAGATGCGTGCAATACAGACGCGCTAACTAAAAAGCTACAGAGGTAGCGCTCCGTCTCCTTCACGCTGAGCCGTTTCACCCAGTTTCATATCCGCAGTCCCCTCCTCGGTCGACCAAAATCATGGAGGAGGTGAGCGCCCTGCCAAGGCAAGTGACCCAGGGGAAACACTACATGTTCTTCATAAGGAAACTGAGCATGCTGTCGGTTTCCTCCTCAGCAGGGATCAAACATCTTCCTACAAACTTTTGATGTGGTTCCATTTGTTAAAATTTGTCTGAAACACTTCAGTAAATTATTTTGTTAAAAATGTAAACGTACACCAGAATTATCAGCGCTTCTGTTAGACTTTTTCATATTTTTTCAGCCTAACAAGTTCTTGCCTTTTTCTGTTGTGATATTGCTGAACTTCCTCCTTATATCTTTTTACAGCACACTTATCTGCTTTACCTTTTTTTTTTTTTTGCAGCCTCAAAAGCAAAAAGACCGTACCAGTTCTCTGGTAAAATAACTGTTAAAGCAAAAGAAAAGAGCTACTCCAAACTTGAAATCCCATACCAGGCCGAGGTTTTAGAAGGGTGAGTGATTTCATTAATATACAGTGAGGTGCAAACGTATTCACACCGCCTGGTAGTCTTTCATTGTTCTTGTCTTACAACCTACTATTTATTGGATTTGTAATACGTCTTCACATTATTGAAGTTGAATGGAAAAAATAATCTTGTTTCAAACAGTTCTCCAAAGTTCTCTAAAGTTGTGTGTGTGCTTATATTCATGCCAGGGAAAAATTATGTGTAGACTGTATTGTTCTCAATGAACAGGAACTTATCTTTTGAACACCACCTCACTGTGAAGCAAGGTGGTGGCAGCACCATGCTGTTGGAATGTTTTTCCATCAGCAGGAACTGGGAAATTGGTCAGAGTTGAAGGAAAGCAGGATGGAGCAAAATGTAGTGAAATTCTTGAGGGAAATCTGTTCATTTTTCCAGAGATTTTAGTCCGGAACAGAGGTTTACCTTCCAGCAGGACTGTGTCCCCAAACACACAGCTGAAGCAAGCCAGCACCAATTTAGAGCCTCTGATGTTTAAAGATAAGCTCCTGTCCATCTTGAAGGATCTAAATCAGTTTGGTCATGAACAATAGACTACAAGTTTAATGAGAAGACCAAGTGAGAGAGACGAACCAGAAGAGAGTTGCTGCTGTAACTGCCAAAAAAGGTGGTTCGATGAAGATTTTAATTCATAGGGGTGAATACATACGAACACAGCATTTTTCCAGTTCTATACATATTTAGAATTATTTTAAATAAAATCTTTCTCCCATTTCACTTAATTAATCTGGAGTATTTTTGTAGAATTTCTACTTATATTCAAAGCAAGTCTGTTTAGATTCCATGTTGTACGGCAACAGAAATGGACAGAAAACCACGGGTGAATACTTTTTTTTAGTCCTCTGTACAAAGAGATAAAGAATGAACGCAAGGTTTTTAGCCGAGTTCAAGACCTCACTGTTTTGTTTTTGGCAGCTACCTGGGCTTTGACCACACAGCTACATTGTTTCATATCAGAGACAGCCCTGTGGAGCCAGTGGACCGACCCATCTTCCTCACAAACGCCTTCAACTTTGATATCTGCATACACAACGTGTCCCTGCCAGAGGAAGCCAGCACTATGTTTAAAGTGAGTGTTATTAAAGCAGAGCTGGCATCTGTCAAAGAGCAAAATGAAATCCAGGTTTTTTATACGCCCATCAAAGGTGGGTTGTATTATGGTATTGTCTCCATCCGTAAATCCATAAACTTTCTTGTGTCTGGACCATAACTTCTAATCCACTAAAGATAATTTAACAATACTTCATACATGTATGCATAGACAGAGTGTCACGTAGACTTTTCATCACACCAGCTTCAAGGGTAAGGTCACAAATCAAGGTCAAATGTTAGACAAGGTCTTTTCTTGTTCGGACCGTTGCTACAGATTGCTGTATGGTCGACAGCGTAAAACGTGTCGTTCATGGTACTCCTGTCTTTTTTCTGTTGTAGGTGCAGAATTTCAGCCTGCCCATTCTCATCCCTGCACACGAGTCTCGGTACATCTTCTCACTCCTCTTCACGGCAGTCCGGCCATCCATTAACATAGACAGCAACATCCTGCTCATCACAAATGCATCAAAGTTTCACCTGCCTGTTCGAGCTTACACAGGCTTCTTGGAGGTAAATGTTGAACCCACAGCACAAGATGGCATAGAAAAGAAACATCCTGAAACTCTGAGAGCTACAACTTAGACTTGAATCCTCTTAGCTTTTTGCTGCTCTGTTGAGGTTGGCGTCTATGATCAAATCAAATTTAGGAACATATTTCCTTTATTTTCAGATTTACACTTTTGATTTTGTGTTTGTTCTGCTCAAACATCCACGTAGTTGCTCACAGATCACAGATGTAAGACTAAATATTTCTTCAGACCCTGCTTAATATTTTATATGTTTTATAAAGAGCACATATTTTGGCTTTAAGGTAATATTATAGTCATTATTTGTTCCCCAAAATACTAAGTTATTCCTTCATAAAGTGATTCAAAAAGAGTCATTCCGCTCTCACTTCAGGATTTATTCAGACTTTAAAATGGCAGCTGGTCACAGAGTGCCACACTTTTGAAATCTGATATAATTGATTCCACTAATAATATGTTCCTGTGAACAGCCCCTCGTCCTGCCCCCCAGTCTGAAGGAAAACCACCTGGACTTTGGTGTCCGCAGTGCGACGGACACCAGCAGCATCATATTTGTGGTGGTCAACAGTAACCCCATTGAGGTAAGAAGTGACGTGAGCAAATTATGTTATGGCTGCCACGGTTTGCAGCTTTTCATGAGCAGATAATGAGATGATGTTCCTTAGCACAGACTTCAGTTAGCACTTGTGTTCACTGCCCAATATGTTGGTTGAGTAAACCATATTATTTACACAATCTGTTGAGTATTTTGACTTTTCGATGTTTTGAGCTCAGCTAAATCATGTTGCAACATAAGCTTGTGTGTTATCCTCACCCATGCTGCTTAGCAAAGCACCTTGTGCGCAGAGAATTATGTACCTTTGTGATTTCTGTTGTGCAGCTGGAGATAAAGTCTTGGCTGGTGGTAGGAGACAGCCTTTCCATGGAACTGCTGAAAACTGAGAAAGGGAACGCAACAGTGGCTCTGAGTCGCCTACAGGAACTGCAGAACACGTCAACCTCGTATCACAAAACAGTAAGAGCTCCCAAGTGTGATGTAAGTCCTTAGAGCTGTCTGAAGGATGAGCACTTGGTGTATGGGTACCACCAAACTGGCTTCAGAGGCTCTGCAGGAAATCTGGCCTTTTCTTTATTAGTGTTATTTTTTAGTTTTGTTTATCTTTATTGAAAAGCGGCACAAAGTGGGCTTTTAGGTTTATTTTAAGATGAGATAATGTTGAAACAATACAGGAGGAGTTTCCATGGTAGAGCAGCATAAATCAATGTTTTATTAATAGATACAAACTGGGGGAAAAAGATTCATACAACACAAATAACATAAACATGGGGGCACACAAATAACTTGTGGAGGTTATCTGCACAAATGCGATGAATGATGTGATCGAGGGAATGCATCGATGCATCATTTTGTTGTCTGATGCTGGTTTTAGAGCACCTTCCATCCATCCATCATCTTCCACATGTTCTGAAGTCAGGTCTCGGGGGCAGCAGCTTGAGCAGGGAGGTCCACACATCTCTCTCCACAGCCTCCTCTTCTAACTCTTCTGGGAGGACTCCGAGGTGTTCCCTACGTCTCTCCAGCGTGTCCTGGGTCTTCCCTGAGGTCTCCTCCCAGTTGGACATGCCCGAAGCACCTCCCTAGGGAGGTGCCCAGGAAGCATCTTTACCAGATACCTGAACCACCTCGACTGACTCCTGTCGAAGTGGAGGAGCAGCGGTTCTACTCCGAGTCTCTCCTGATAACTGAACTTCTCACCCTGTCTCTAAGGGAGAGTCCAGCTATCCTGCAGAGGAAACTCATTTCAACCTCCTGTGGCCACAATCTCATTCTTTCTGTCACTACCCAGAGTTCATGAGCATAGGTGAGGGTAGGCACGTAGACCGACGGGTAAACAGAGAGCTTTGCCTTACAGCTCACCTCCCTCTTCACCACAACGGACCGGTACAGAGTCCACAATACTGCAGACGCTGCACCAGTCCGTCTGTCAATCTCACGCTCCATTCTTCCGTCACTCATGAACAAAACCCCGAGATACTTGAACTCCTCCACTTGAGGCAGAACCTCACCCTCGAGTTGAAGAGAGCCTTTTCTGAATCCACCCTTTTCTGACTGAGGACCATGGCCTCAGATTTTGAGGGTCAGCATTGGACCAGCATTAACAACCATCAATCCTGAAATGAACATTTTATTGTTGCCTTTAAAAGTGCTACATTGGGAACACAACAGTTGAGTTTCACCTGTTTGATGGCTTTAAACTTTAGCTTTTATGTAACTGAACATTGACTTGATTTTCTCTACAGTATTGTTTGATATGAGTCAACGTGCCTAAAAATACATTTAAATATTGCTCATCTGCTTTTTTGTTGGGGGCTACCTACAAAGAAATAAGTAAACCAAAGAAAGATCTTCAGAAATTGGTTTGGTCATAAATTATATTCCAAAAAAATATATGAAAGCATAAATGTTAGTCACCTCAGAAGCAAAACGTAAAATAAATATTGGTAGCTCTAAAATCGTTTTACTTTTTTTTTTTGTAATATTAGTATTCAAGGTAAAGAAGAAGAATCTGAGGCCCAAATGACATAATTAAACCCACACGATTGGTGATAAATTACACAATGAAGGAAGTCTGTAGCCTTCTCTGACAGTTTCCACCTGCCTTTTTACCAGAAAACATCCCATCTTTGTGGTATTTCTCCATTGTGTGTGTTTTTCTCCTCAGGTGATTCTTGCATCAGGTTACTACGCAGCGTTCAGGGTGACGTTAGTGGCCAAAGCACTGGAGGGCGTGTACGATGGGGCAATACACATAACTACAGATTATGAAGTGGGTTCAGCTTTTTGTTTTCAGGCAGAAAATCCCACTTAAAATGGAACTTTACACTCACTGGATTTTTATTTATGTGCCTTCAGATATTAATCATCCCAGTAAAAGCTCTCATTGCCGTGGGAACGTTAAAGAGCTCCCCCCAGAACATTATTATGCCTCCTTCATTTCCAGTAAGTAACGTTCAGACGATGTCCACCAGTTCTTCACCAGCAATGCCAGTTCAAGTTTAAAACCAGGGATTGCAAGTCGTCACATGTTTGTGTATGTCATGTTCTCCTCAGGGAAAAGTCGTACACCAGGGTTTCAACATGCAGAGCTCCTTCACTCAGAAGGTGAGGCTGCAGCAGATCCGCTCGCTAACCGAGGACATTCGCTTTTATTACAAGCGGCTCCGCAACAACAAAGACGAGCTGGAGCCCAGGCGCAAATCAAAGGTAGAAAATCAGCATCCCAAGGATTTAAAAATGATCACGTTTGCATTAATATATTTGAATTTGTTTTTCAGGTGGCAAATATTTATTTCGATGCCAGCTTGCAGTGTGGTGATCACTGTTATGTGGGCCTGCCGTTTGTGCTGAAATGTAAGTTTGTGTGTGAAATGTTCAAATCTCATAACCAAGGCTCCATTAAAATAAGGTTTTATTCCCTTCTGGGGAATTGGTATGATTTTACAGGATTCATACAGGTTTTAATAGTATGGAAAAGAATGTTGGTGTGGATTCTCAGTCACTCAGGACACGACGAGTCCAAAATGTTTATTAAAACTAGGGATGGGGCCGATCCAGTATCGGTATCGGCCTCCAATAGCAGCGTAATTTATGTATCGAATTTTTCCAATCCAACCTGCTGATATTTCCGATCCATGACGCACGTTGGCTTCAAACTATGGAATGGATTTCACAAACAGCGGCGTGTCTCATGAACCCAGAGTAATAAGACCCGCCTCACATTCAGGAAATCCAGTTCATAGTTTGCAGCCAGCTACAACGTGAGGACTGAGTTAGCAGCACTGTGGCTAACAGCTAACAAACTTTTCATCTGAACATGTCCGCTGTGTGGAAGTATTTTACACTAGAAACACCACAAAGCAATGCAGCAACGTGCAATGTCTGCAGAGCCATAGCTCCACATTAAACCACGTTAAATTTAGTTTTATGAAGGACATTCGAGCTCCGTGGCTTCAGCGGGGCGCTACTCTTGGCTCAGCCCGAAACAGACAACTCGACCCCGGCCAGCCGTGTCCAATCTGCCCGTCTCTGAGGAGGGACAGACTGAGCGCGACTGACCAAAATCAGGCTGCCTGCTTTGGATTGAACAAGAAGAAAACATCACTGAAGCCCGGAGCTCGAATGTTTACTGAGAAGTTGCTAAACTGCATCATGATTAATGACCAACCACTATCAGTTGTAGAAAATGAAGGATTTCACAGTTTGATACTTGCAGTCAAGATATAGTTTACCCTCCAGAGATATTTATCAGTACAACAGTAGACAATCATAAAAAACATATGATTTGAAAATTATATATATTTAAAAAAAAACACACAAAAAAACAGCTACATTATAAAGTGACGTAAAATACTAAAAACAGGAACATGTCTGTTGGTTTATGCCATTAACTTAGCAGATGTTTGAAGTCATTTAACATTTTATTTTATTCATTTATTCATTCATTTAAAAAGAAACTAAATTTAAAAAAATCATCAAAAAGAAAACATTGAGTGAAAAGAGTGCAGAAAGAAGAAAAATCTTATATTTGCCCCTTATTTAAAAAAATATAAAATTACTTTAAACAATCACTTAAATTAATCACTTTAATATCCACTTTACAGATGGGAATAAAAATAAACATGTTTTGTGTTAGAATTTAATTCTAACTTTAAAACTTATCCAACATAAATAAAACTTACCTCAAGTTGCCTTTTTGGACATGCATGCATATATTTGTACAAATTGTACTTGAGAGGAGATTATTACAGCCTCATATAAAATCAATGATGATGATGATATCCGAACTGAATCGGTATCGGACGATACTCAGATTTAGGTATCGGGATCGGATCGGAAGTAAAAAATAAAGCGGATCCCTAATTAAAACATTAACGGGACTTTTTATTCTGTAGTCATTTTGCTTCCATCCAACACTCATGGTGCAGCAGGATTATAATCTCTGACAGAATAACGGTTTGTAAACTGACATTTGTAATAATCATGACGTTTTTTGAAGACTATAAATATTTTAGGACAACAGCAATCCTCTTTGGTCTTGGTCCAAATAACACCAACCTTTATCTTGTCAACTCTGCCAGACCAAAACTTCTTTATTCACACTCAGAACTCTCTACAGCAAACAAGATATTAAAATATTAATATAACTTTTCCACACAAGCAAAACACTTCAGTTTATTTATAAAGCACCAAATCACAACAGAAGTCGTCTCAGGGCACTGAACAGGAACATTCCCATACATTAAAAGTCACTTAGTAAAGTTCTCTATCTAAGGAAGCAGCAGACTGCATTGAGTCTTCATTCCGTTGCAGTCTCCCATCCTGAGCAAGAACAAAGGAGACCGTGGAAAGGAAAAACTCATTTTAACAGGAAGAAATGTTCAGTAGAACCAGGCTCAGGACGAGCAGCCATCTACTTCGACTAAAGATTTGAATTATACCTTTAAACCCTGTGATTGCTGATTGTGAATTCTGCTGTGTGTGCTCATTTACTAAAAGAAAGGTTTGAAATGAGACTTTATAACATTTACAGAAAATTCTGTATATTTGAAATAGAAATTTTGTAGGAAGGTGTTTTTGCACCAACTGCGCTGCTTCTGGGTTTGTAATACTGGTGATTTCCCAGTTCAGTTCATAACAAACCTGCAGATTTGGTGGCGCACACGTTCACTTTCCACAGACTCGTGTCCGTCTCTTCTTTTTTGCGCTTTAGAGTATCAAAACAAAAACAGGATGTCGTAATGTTTTGCTTATAATTTAATTGGAAAAGTAAAACAAATCCTTCAAATGACAGAAGCTCAAATGTTCAAACGTTTTGTCACAATAAAAGTAGCAGGCTGAGTTTTTGTGTTATAGCACCGCTTATTTCTAAATCTACATGTTTCCATTCTGTGCACACAGCTTGTGTTTGTGAATGTACAGGCAGCTGTCACTCAAGAGACTTGAAAACTTTTGTTCATTTTAAGTAAGCAAGTTTTTTGTTTGTTCCCCCCCAGTTTACAAACTGGTGTCTAGGTATTTATTAGCAATGCAAATAAGAAGTGAAAGCCACACTGGATTAGATTATTTTTAATTCTTTGTGATCAAACATCACATAATAACTCTAATTCCCACCACTTGTCCCTTCGGCTGTTTTAATTTATTTATTGCATTTTCCTGTAATTTCCCCAGATTATCATCCTGCAACTCAATTTAATTTCCAAGAAGCACGACTAATATTTTGTTTGGCTTCTCTCCCTGTGAATGTTGTATTATAAAGGAGCCTAAAGTTTATTTTTTATTTCCCAGTTGAGTCCAAACCCCACGGGGCGCTGGCGTTACAGGAGGACATCTGGGATGCTGACGTCGACCTCCACCAGACACTCCTCAGAAGATGGAAGGAGCTCAAAGAGCGCTCGGGACATAAGTAAGCATGTTAGTGTGAGCCGCTGAGCAGGTTGTTGCAGGGCTCTTCAAACAATATTGTAGGTTTTTAATTTGAATCTCTCTTATCAAAGAATTGAAGCCATGTTTGAAGTGAACACGGACCTTCAGAAGAACGTGCAGGCTAAAATAACAGCCCACTTGGCGTGGCCTTCACTTGTCAACTCGTCGCAAAGAATCACGTTCCCCCTGACCAACACAAACAGCTCCTCTGTGAGTCCAAACTATCTGCCCTGATGGACACACACGCACATCCATGAATGGGTTAATGCAAGAGTGTCCACTCCTGGTCCGTGAAGGCCACTATCCTGCATGTTTACTCAGTTCCCTGCTCCAAAACATCAGGTTTGATGTTGAATCATCACGACCAGGATGGAACACCCCTGGGTCTGGGTACAGTTCAGGTTTCTGTGTCCAGTTTGATGCAGGATGTGTCTGTGTTTGTCTGCAGGATGAGGAGGTGATTCTACAGAACCCTGCAGACGTCCCTGTCTACGTCCAAGTTCTCCCGTTGGCGCTGCTACCAAACCCCTCTGTGTTTTCAGGAAAGTTGGCTGACAGGTGAGGAATCTCTTCATCGTGCTCTTTATTCCTTCATCTAACCACAACACTCACATTCTGTGCTTTTATTTTTCAGGTTGCCGTTGGGGAATTTGTCCAATATCAACATAGATACAAAAACATTAGAGTTCCAGGTTCACAGAAATCAAGTGAGCCCACCTTTTCAGCTGCACACCTGTCACTGGTTTTGACTGAGAGCGGAAGCTGGTCTAACAGGCCATATGTTTTGTTTCACAGACATTTCCAATAAAGTTCAGCTCAGGGTTTGTGGAAGGCTCAACCAGACCGTATGTGTACAACCTCCTCCTGCAGCCGGGAGAAGTCAAGTCGCTCAGCGTGAGGTTCACCCCTGTCAGCAACCACAGCGTCTCCTCCCTGCTCATAGTCAGGTGACCCCAGTGTTTAATGCTATCAGGAGAACAGCCGTACGTGTTCATCCTCTGAATGATCTGAACGTGTGTTTAATTTAGGAACAACCTGACTGTGATCGACACCATCGTACTTTATGGACGAGGGACGACTGAGAGCCTGAAAGTGGCAGGGAAGCTTCCAGGACAGGGCAGCTCACTGAGGTATAAGATGACCGAGGCGCTGCTGAAGGACTGCACAGAGAGTGAGTGCTGGCGGGAAAGAACAGCATATGTCACTTAGCTCTCATCTTTTATTACAGAACAATTTTTACAACAAAAAAAAATAATCTAAAACAACAGCAATTTATCCATGAGACTTAAGGAAATTTAAATTAGACATCTTATACAAAACTTTTTTTAAAAACATTTTTTAAATCTGTTTCTGGAACTAGACTGAGCATGACATGATGACATGACATGAACAGTAGACTGAACTAGACACATTAAGCTAATGTGTATAACATGCTAAGCTAACATGTATAACTTGTTAAGCTAATGTGTATAACATGTTAT